TCAAATCTTATATTAATATACTTTAATAGTTACTACTAAAATACAATGTACTGTAAATTAAAGTTTTCCCAAACATTACATCCAATTGTAATATGATTTCGTTGTTTTGAACAATTAGATGAAATAATATCATTCGATATTATATTCTGTATCGAAATTAACAATAAATTTAATCATTTATTTCATTTCATTGAAATATTAATCAATTAATTGACAAAGAATATTAAAATTCAATTAATTGCATACTGTTTACTGTAGTTAAACGTTACTAAAATAACATTACATTTAAAAGGAATTGCATTCAAAAAAATTAGTATTTGGTTATTGTTTCAAATGTATAATTCATTGAATTCGTGTATCAAAGAAAGGCATTTTAATATAATAATTAATCTTAATGCCTTACAAGTTAGATATTGTGTTTAAATATAAAAATCAACTAAAAAAGTATATATCACTACTGATTATGATGCATATTTCAATAAAGGATATGACACGTTTGATTTGATTCAAATAACAAACATTATAATTTATAAACAATACTGTATTAACTATCAATAGTTAGTTCATCTCTTGTATCTTTAATTGTTTATATTGTTATGCATTTTCAGCACTCAAGACACAGCACTCAGTCTCAACCAATCAAATCATTCATTATTTATAAATAGCATTCAATATTTATTGATTTAGATAAAACTAATAAAAGTCTCGCATTTAAATTTCATTAAGCTATTAAACTTTAAAGCATTGCTTATGACTAATAATACTAATTTATTTAATCTAATTGTCTTGTAATAAATGTACATTAATAATGGTTTAGTCATAAATTATAGATAAATTTTATGTACTTTTAACTCAATTATGATTAAGTTAGTGTCGACAGCGCTGTCACAACACGATTAACAAAACCTTAAATAGTATCCAATGTTAGGACAAGAATCACTAAATTATATGTCAACTCATTATTTTGTTATTTGTTTAGTAACGAATTGAATTGACTGCAACTCTCTTTCTTTGAATTTATACTTTTGATGTTATTTCTGACAAATAATGTCTCAAACCCTTATATAACTGAATCTAACGTTATATAATTGCTACTTCGCTACTAATATTACTGTATCCTTAATATCAAGCATAACATCCATTAATGGAAACAACATCTCAATAGTTGGCAATAAAATTATTTGTTTGAAGCTAAAAATTATGTGCAAACGATATTATGGTTGTATTTAACGATTCTTATGCTATAAAATATTATTTCATTTCATGTAAAATGATTTTTATATTGTTTTTAATCCACTTTATTGTGAATTAAATTTCACTATCAGTTAAGTGTCACACAAACACAATACTTATGTGTTGTTACGATAAATAAGTAACAAATATAAGCTTATATAACAATATTTATAATTTGCTAAACATTTGTAGATTCTGTGATTAAATTATTATATAATTAATTATATAATACATATGAAGTGCTTTACGCTAGAAAACAACCAAAAATGATTATTAAAACAATGATTATTGATTGAATACTCACTGAACAAAATCTGTTGATTTACTAGAACTATAAAAGCGGTGATCAGAATATGAAGATTCAGTACATCTCTGTTTGCAATCATTATTACAAGAATTTGTTATTTATTGAGACAAAATTATTCACAAAACAATACGCAAAACAACTTATGATTAATTAATCGCATGTAAAGTAGTTTTCACTTTTATTAAACGCCAAAATGTTTATAATTTAAACGATTGTATATGAGATGAACAACAGTTGTCGAGTGCTTTTCTCGCTCTCCCTCTCCGTCTCTTTCTTTCTCACTCTTTCTCTCCCTTTCCTTCTCTCCTCTAAATCCACTCTCAAATGCAAACACAGACTTCGAGTGAGAAAACTTTGTACTCGTTATCAGTAGCGACAGGAATCGTGTATTGGATGTGACGTAAACTTATTTATACTTATTTACTAATCATCCAATCATTCGCTATTGTATTAGTTTATGGCTTGAAATAAAGGCATTGATTATTACAGTAATTTGTATTCAATGAGACATACCTTGTGTTTAATAATACAATGTATTGACATAATTGGCACTTGAATTCATAGCACAGATTCATTGCAAATTCTGTTCAATAATTACTGTAAAACATGACAATCGATGGCAGAGTTTAGCGTAAGTCTGATTTAACGGACATTTACAGTAGACTTTGTTCATCACTTTGTCTGTAAAAGTATGTCTAAATTGTTTGTTTAAAACGCAAACAAACATTTAGCAGATTTACGTCAACCATAGGTTTGTACATTTCTTTGCATCAATTGATACAAAAACAAACTGAAAAACTATTAAATTTCTGGCAATAAAATGTTTTTTCAAAACACTTTTGTTACGATTAATGTCAATACAATTCTTACATAATAGACAAGAATGTGTTCAGAATTTAAGTGATATTATGATTGAACAGAGATTATATTGTGTGGACACGAAGTACAGTATAATATAGTTTATAACTGTATGTCTTGGACACAGATGTGTGTTTGAATACTAATAGATAAATCTGTTACCATTGATAGACTCCCCAAAGAGACAGAAATCCATTTATTTAAGCAAAACATTATTAATAATTTAACAGAAAAGTATTAAAAGGCTAAAAATGGGACAAACATTGAACTAAAAGCTGATATCAATTCACTTTTTTATATCAATTTTTAGATTCAGAAATACTTGTCAGAGAATATCCAACTCATCTCTTATGGATTTTCAAGGGATTAACATTTTTTTAGTGATTTATTGGTTTTGTATTTATAGTTATTTATTCTGAAAATAAGTAAAACTTCTTTTTTTGTAGGAATTAAATGAAGAAATTATTTGATTTTAGAGTTAAAGGAATTAAAGCCAAACTTCGTGTGGAAATTAAAGGTTTTTATTTAAATAAAAATTATTACAATAATTGAATTGAGAATTAATTTACAACAATAAGTTTTGTCAATAATTATACAATTAATTCATAGAAGAGCTGCCATTGATTACAATAAAATTGCTTTTAAAATATCGCATAGTTTTCTTATGAAAACTTTTTCACAATTATAGCAACAATGAGTTCAGTCTTTACATTAGATTCATTTTTTGTATACAAATAAATAATAAAATTAAAAAATCGTAATAAAACTCGTTTTGCATTAAATATTGGCTGAGAATTAATAACAAATTATTAATTGATTTTTATAATGAATTTTTACAATTAATAGCATTTCTATCAATACTTTTCGCTTATTTTTTGGCACAAATAATGATTATAGACTAGAGATTTCAATATTGTTTTTTAATTATGTGATTATCCGTTATATTATATATTAGTTTAAGATCTAAACAAAAATCTTTTAAATGTATATATAATTAAAAATTGAATGTCAATCCATCACAACATATGTATAGCACCAGTCGATACCATCCATTGAGAGGCCTCTCGTTTTGTAAATCATATATAATTTTATGCATTAATTATATAATTCGATACGAATTGTGGGATTCCTTGTCCTTTCAAGTCGTTATCATAACTGTCTTCAAGTGATTTTTGACTCAAACTTATAATTCATTGTATGTTTTGCTTCACAATTACTTTTATATGAAAGCAGTTAATATTGTTTTACTTATTCTGTGAGCTATTAGTGGTTAACACCGAATAATCAGTTAATAATAATATTAATAAACAAGTGTTTCGATCAATAAATTGGACGGACTTTTAGACAAAAATGAGTTGAATATAAAGTGTTGTCGAAACAAATATATTGAGGGATAGTTTTGAGAGTTTAGTATTTAACATGTTTGCTGTTATTGTTATAAATCGCCTGTTTATAGCTATATCTAAAAAGTAAATGTTAGTCAAAATGCATTAGTTTAGAGTTTTGTATTATTTTTATCGGTATTAGATTTTAGCGAAAATATTTACACAAATTACACAAAATATTTCAGTTTTTATTAGGCATTCAATCGATATATTTCTGCTAATAATAGACTTTCAAGTAATTCATTGAAAACGAGTCAATGAGTAAAGGAGTGGTTCACTGGGAAGAAGAAGTGATTCGCAACTAAATGTTTACTTATGTGTTAGTAAAGCAAAACAGGAATTGAAATAAAATTAAAATTTCATGCAATTAGTGAAGAAAGATATAACACTTTCCATAAAAAAGAGCAAACAATTTGAAAACTAAAACAAAACTCTAAAAGGAAATAAGATTATAGAATATAATTTGTGGCAAAAATAAAACAAATCAAATGAAACTCAAACTTTTAATTAAAAGGCGTTTATTCAATGAAAATAACGATTTTTTATTGCAAATAAAAGTAAAAGTAAGTAATAATTATTAAAACAAAATCTAAATATTATATCACATATATTTGCATTTATACACAAAAAATAATATTAATAAATAATTTATATTATAATTTCAAAATAATTCATGTAAAAACAGTTAACATTTAGAAACCATTCAATTATAAATGATTCGGATCTCAAAAGCTATTATTTTAACATCAAAATAATGCTTAAATATTGCATATTAAATGATATCAAAGTATTTCTTGACATGTCTTGTAAAGTAGAGGTAATAGCCATTAGATGTTATATTTGTCTTATAAACTAATCGCATAAAATGTTTACACATTATTATTATTACTGTATTATATAAATCATTGCAATAAAACTAAATCTCAATTAAATTTCAAATAAAAAATGACTGCAAAAAAATACATAACTAACCAATGATTAAAAGGCACGCAAAACGCCTGCACTATTAGACTCGCTTTAAATGCTGTCTAAAAATTGATTCTCTCTTAAAATTATAAAAACTCTAATCGATTAAAACTGAAAATCAAATAATAGTTTTACTCAATAAAATAAAATAACATAAAAAGCAAATTATAATCATGTAATTTGTGCTTATTTTCAATAAATTCAATTAAATTGTAATTTGAAAATAATATGTAATTCGCGTTTCATTACCTATCGGTTGAATAACTCTTTTTAACGGTAGTTATGACGGGAATATCGTTTGAATCGTCGTCCGACTCCTCGCCAATCGCCACCGACAGCAGCGGCGGAGCCGACGATGAGTTCAATAGTGGCGTCAAGTTATTTAAGAGATTGAGTTGAGATACTTTCCATTTCAGGGCCGACACGTAAACCCGGTATCTCTTTAGCTGTAAAAACCAATTCAATATATTTTAATAATGCATTGGTTTTAAGAAAAACAATCACTGAAATTGCTTTCCATACCTCGTACTGTAGATAATTCTCCTTTTCGGCGAATTCACTCATTTGTCTCTTCGATGCTTTCTTTTGAAGTGCTTTCGATAAGTGTTGATCGAGTTGTGTCTCCAATAGTTCCACTCGTTTCTCTTGGTCTACAAGTTGTTCCCGCTTTGAGACAAATAAAAACAAAATAATAACAATTAAAGTCAAGCATAAAACACAACGCGTGATGCGTTTTATACCAAATTGAGTTTAGTGTGACTGACGGGAAGCAATGGTTTCTGGAATTTCTTAATATCAGAACCGACCGCTTCTGGCAAAGCAGGGGATGAAAGACTAGCGGACACCGTATTAATTGTGTCAATCCATATCTGCAATTCTCTCGAATCACTGCAACAAAAAAGGTATAAAAAATGGTTAAAACAAAACCAAAATGACATTTGAATGCTCGCGCAGACCTGGTTTGGAAGAGGTATTCGGAGTGGTCTGCAGTCAACAATCGGAACACGAATTGCTTTTTGGTGTAATCGCTGGCATTGGAGGCGAGCGCGTGATGTACTCGTATAGAGTGCGTCAAACTCTCGTACAATTGATTTTTGCGGAATCCCTGTTCGTCTTTATGTAAGTACAGAATCAGATCTCTGAGCGTCGCGTAAAACATTTTCCATCCCCTCTTCCCCACCGGTGCTATCATTTCGTAAACAATAAACAAATAGAGAAAAAACAAAAACTCGTTTAATATTTATTATCGATTTCAATGTGTGTTTTGATGATTACTTTTTTTGCCATTTGATTCATAGCATGATTTTCTCATTACATAACCCTTTTTATATTCAGTCGCGCAGTTAGGGTTCGGCACCTCTAGAAATGGGTTGTGACCTATAATACTGATGTGTTGGCTCAGGTTTGTTGCCATCAAATCCACACCGTTTCGGTCTATTGTATGCGTTTCACTGCTTTCATCGCTTCATTCAAAAAAACAACAAAACAATTGATTCAAAACACATGTAAATAATTTGTAAAACAAATCTAATCAAAACTCATTACGCATTCCACTCGAGGGGCGTATCTTTGATGGCCTGATATAGGAGTCGGAGGACATCGCGTGGAAAGTCGTAGCCGTCGTTCATTCCCGACAAGTTGTGGACGAACTCATTGCACGTCATTCTGCGGCCCACGTTCTGTACGGTTGTGTCCATACAATCAGTTAACTCAATATATAGACAATAAACACGACTATAGAAACACGAAAACATACCTCTCCGTGAAGATCGGTGTTGAGTAGCATTAGAGCGCAGGTAAGCGTATGTATTGAGTCGTTTGATTTGTACGGCCCGTTGGGGTTGTAGTCGTAAAACCGTTTGGAGAAGTGAACCAAAACGCGTTCCCTTTCCTGCGTTTCTCCGATCAGCGAAAAGCGGGACAAAAACTTTCTCAACGCTAAGTCCAGCGTCTGGTCACTGAAGTCGAAGTATTTGAGGTACTCTTCGGCCACAACTCGACTGAATTCGTTATTTTTGCTCAAATGTCGCGAAACGTCGGACTTCTTAAAGCCCTCTAAGTTGAAGAGCCGTTTGGCCAGTCGTACGGCACTCGGAGTGTCCACACCTTTTGGCGGCGAGTAATGGCTTTCTGTGTCGGACGACTCCTCGTCGGAACCATTCACTGGTTGCGACTGCGCGGACACAGCCGCCAGTCTATTGTCCACTAATTGTGTCCTTTTGGGAACCGATGGCTGAACTGTTGGTCGATTCACTACCGCTTTACTATCCCTATTGTCCGTCACATCAGTGATGGCATTAAAATCGTTGACACATTTAAGTTCATCATAAGAGAGGCCAAAGTCGTCGAAATTGTTTCGCATGACCTGATCCTCGGGTGATGTCGACGGTGTGGTCGAGTCGTCGCTGAGCGACGATGAGAGAGACATCGACTGATTGTTGTGTGTCTTAAATGAGGATTTGTTACGGTTTTGATCTAATGTTTGACACGAAAGAGAACTCATGAGTGAATAGTTTTCAGACATCGAGGACTCCGTTTGTTCGATAGTATTCATTGTCGTCAATGTCTTTGTGGGCGAAATGGCCGCCGAAGAGATGGTCAGACTTCGGCTGTCGTCGGGCGACGATTTGTTGGACGTGGAGTTCGTCAACAGTTCCTCTTCATCATCATTGATGAAGTGGTGGTCGTTATCGGGACTCCAATCGTCAGAATTGGTCCAATTCTTGTGGTCCGACGACTCGTCCGAATGTTTGCCGTTTAATATCGTGTCCATTGAATGACTGCAACAATCATCGGAACAGTTAATGTCGACAACTGTTATGTCTTCGGATGTCAACTGATCGTCGCTTTTGCTGAACCGAACCAAAGGCAAAGACATCTGCCGTTTGGCCACAAACTCATTCATCGCCTCATTCTTATCGTTGAGATAATTGAAGTCATTTTTGTGGACATTGTTTGGATTCAATTGTCCGTTGGTTTGCGTCTCTTTGTGTTCAAAGCCGTTGTTTCTGTGGTTGTGATCATTGATGGCGTCCGCGAAGTGGTCTGTATTTGACGGCGAATTGGGCTCTGAGTTGAACTGCTTCTGGATGTGCGACGAGTGGATCAGATTAGGTGTGGATTTGAGTCTCAACTGATTCCTCTTGTGGTAACCCATGTCTCCCGACTTAATGTTAGTCAGGTTTATGATGAGGTCTCCGGTCATCATAAACCAGTCCTGATGTTTGGCCATAGAAGACATGGCCGAAGACACTCACTCTCACACTGTGGTCACTGACACTCACGAGTGGATCCAATGGATCCGATGATCACCACATTTGACACCAGATGTGTGTCCATGAGATGCGATCAATAGCTCTGTCACACAATGTTTGGCTAACTCTCAGTCAATACCTCACACTCTCTCACACTCTCTGTCTCTCTCTCTCGCAAAACATAACACACTTTGAGTTCACAATCAAAAGCAATGCCTATTATAACGACACCTAACCATACATTTGGGCATTACTTTCAACGCATAGCAAATCAATGGCACAGACTTTCAATGCGATTCACTTTTGCCTAATATTACGCTATATTTCACTATTAATACGAGCTTTTGATTCATTCGCTTTCATTTGCGATCACTTTTCACAATAAATACATAGACTTACAGACAGTACAGACAGTGCACAACACATACACACAAATCCCATCACTTTTTTAATATCCAGGCATTTGTTGTAAGGCATGAAACGCTATTTTCTTCGCTTAATGTCTGTCACACATAACAAAAACTTGTTTTTAATCACTTCTTCTTTACTTCTTCTTCTTCTTTGTGATGATTTTTTTCGCATTTAATAAATGGTTTCATTCATTACATCACAGCATATGTATCGCCAATGATATCAACTATCAATACTTATAGAGATTTCTCTCTCACTTTTTTTTATTCACCATTCAATACATAAACGACTTGTAAAGTCAATGAGAAGGTAGATCTTTATTGAGCTCTCTCTCTCTCTCTCTCTCGTCTCAAATCCTAACGACTGGATAAAAGTGACGCAAAGAAAGCCGACTCTCTATTAAAAGAAACTTTTCTTTTGCCTTCTTTTTGGTTCATTTCCATCAAAATAAATGATTGTCTCAAACATTAGACATTTGGCGATAAATTATATAATTTACTGCCGTTTTGTAGTCTCGAAGCCAATCGTGACGTAACCTTAAGTAAAGTTTAACTCTATTTTTAACATTAATTATTTGTCAGTAAATATATTTCGATTCAATTTTTAAAAAAATATATAATAAAAAAGTTGCCTATTTTTATACACAAACTCTCGCTAATGATTAATTGAATTGACTATTGTTTAGATAATTTACATGTTTTACAGTGTGTTTGTCAAATAGTTTAACAATTCGTTGCAATAAATAATTAACACTAATGTAAACATTTTTGCATACAATAGAATTTAATGGCCTTTTATTCAAACTAGAATTTACAATATTTTATAATTTTTTATAATTTATTAAAATATTTTTAAATAAAAATAAAAAGTTACTAAATATTCAAATACAGTAATTTAAAGGGTGTTTAAATATTGCATGTTTTATATTATTTTATACATTAACTCTTCTAAAAGAAGATAATATAATAATTCACATACAATGAAGTATTTATACGGATTACTCCTTATTATTAAATTGGAAATTTAAAAGTGGTTTTTAGTTAGCATTTAGAAAAATCTAATTAATTTATTATTATCATTATCCCAATTGATAACCTATTTATTTGCTGCAAACAATGTTTGAGATATGATTAATTGATTGATAATATTTTCATAGCATTTAACAAAACAAAAACAACAGAATCAATGAAATGATAGGCAATTACTAAAAGGATATGATTAATATGTTTATTGAAAGACAAAAAATGTTTGTTCACAACAGATATGTTTGTAAAACAAATTTAAAAATTTCATTTAAAAGGCGATGAATCATATCCATTAAAGGATTACATAATATCATAACATATGTAAAACAATGATATAATTGTTTGCGAAAAAGGAGTTGATATGTCGTGAAGGGACGGGTAGTTTATTAAAGAAATGGGCTTTTATTGTATGAGACAGACAGACATCGGAGAAATGGTTGTGGACTTGAATTCACAATTTGGACCACTTTTTAAAAGAAGACTTTAAATGAGAAAAAACTAAAAAATTTACTTTTATAACCGAATGTATAAAAAGTTTATAATAAAATAGAAATGAATGAATGCATTGGAAATAATGTCAATTCATTCAACCCATAAACCGATGGGTGGTTTCACCCAATTTATGGCTTATATTTATTTTAAAAGTTAAATTGTAAAATGAATTATACTTTTCTCCCTTAAAATACTTATATATTTAACATTTTCTTCATTTATTATCAATTGATTCGCACTTAAAGTAAAACCGCTTTTGATATAAATTCAATTGAAACGATTGATATGTAATTGAGTTAAACTTTATTTTTTAATCAAACTTTAATTTATTGGTTTGAATGCCAAATATATCTGTTTATAGCGTTTACGTTCAAAAACGTGTTGTTTTTAATTGATTTTCAAAAGATTTTGTAATCATTTTGTAATCGACAGAAACAAACAGAGATAATAGTTGATCGGTCTTAACGTCAAACCACATCCAATGCATAGACAATCTGTTTTCTGTTATAAATATTGTTGTTTTGTCAGCCCTTCAGTACTGTTAGTGATATGTTTATGAGAATATTATTTGTTTGATTACATTGTAATCCTAGATCTCGTCTCAAATCCTAACGACTGGATAAAAGTGACGCAAAGAAAGCCGACTCTCTATTAAAAGAAACTTTTCTTTTGCCTTCTTTTTGGTTCATTTCCATCAAAATAAATGATTGTCTCAAACATT